CGCACCCCACAAATCCCGCCCCCCCCCTGGGCAGGGGCACAGCGGGGAGCGGGGCAGCCCCCTCCTGCCCCCCTGTCCCCCCTGCCCTGGGAACAGATGGGGAAGGCAGCAGGTCACCCTCTGGAGAAAGTGCTAGCACAGGGACTTTTTACGCCAATGACAGCAGATCCCGTCGCCCCAGGAAAATGTGGTCTCGCTTTTGCATGGCGCAGCAGGAGCCGGCGCAGCCAGAATGGAAAATGAGAGCGGTGCTATTTTGTGCACTCCCACCAAAACGCCCGTCAGCATTTCCACCGTAAACCTCTCGGGTTTTTCAGGGGCCTCAGCCACAAAAGAGCGCTCGGGGCTCGTCCGTGGTCGCTTCCCGGTGCGGAGGGACGCAGGGAAGGAGTGGGTGACCTGGTGTCCCTCTGGCTCCGCGGGGATGCAGAGGGGCAGTCTCTGCTTTCCCACCCCACTACCTGTGGCTGCAGGGCCGGAGCTCGGCTGCGGTGATTCCCCACCCGCCGGCGCATCCCTGCAGTGCGGAGGGACCACAGGTCCAGCGAAGTCATTGCTGGGGTGGGACGTGGATCACCCTGCTGCCAGCCCCCTGTGCCGCCTGGGCATGGGCTTCCCCCTCCACCAGCCTCATTGCCCAGTGGGGTCCAGGCTCAACTCCTGTGGGATGGGGACAGCCCAGCCACAGCCCCCATGTCTGATCCTCGCCTTCCCCATCCCCCTCCTGCGAGGCACAAGTGTCCTGTCCCCCTCGCCACCGCTGAGAGCATCCCTCCCTCTCGCAGACCTGGTTGCAGGGCAACCCCACACCTTTAAAAGGAGCCACCCTGCACCGGGGGGGCCCCAGGGTCCCCCTGGGGGAGAGCGGGACATCAGTGCAGCCAAGTGATGCCACATCCCAGCGCTGCCTTCCCTGGGGAGGGGGCTGTGGCATGGGAGCTGACGATCTGGCAGAGCCACCAGTGCCAGGCAGCCGGCAGGGACCCAGCCCACATCCCTCTGGCTGCAAAACCCTCGTGCCAGCAGCTCAGGGGGCCAGCTGGGGCAAGAAAATTGCTGGGAGAGGTGAAAACACCAGGTTCCCAACTGGGGGGCACCCAGGGTGCCGCTGTGGTCCCACCACCACATTGCTCCTGCCCAGTGCATGATGGTGTCTGCGTGAGCAGAGAGAGAAAAAAGCCCAGGGCTTAAGGGCCCTCGGTTCTCCCATTCAATGAGTTTTAATTTAGCTGCTAAGAGACGGAGAGAACAAATAAGAACAAACACTGCTGAGAGGCAGCCCGGGGCCGGCGCGCTTGCGGGGACGGCCCCAGGGGCCAGGCAAGCCGGGAGGTGCGGAAAAAAATTCTGGCACCCCACTGCACCCAAGGCAGGGCACATCGCTGGGGTCAGCCCGGGTCGAGCCAAAATGGCAGCCCAGGGCAGGCCCCGGGCAGCGCTCCTGGTCCTGTGGGTGCTCAGCACCCTCAGGATCTGGCCCCCAGCACGGTGCATGGGGATGCTGGCATGGTTGCACCAAGTGGCCCCAACCCAGCAGATGGGACTGCTGGACACCGTCACCGCGGTGGGAGGGCAACATGACTGAGCACAGAGGTGCTCAAAGATCCCCCTGGCCACGAGCAGAGGTAACCCGTGGAAAAAGGCACAAAAAAATAGGATTTTGGTTGAAGTTGGCATCAGAGCAAAGGCCCCGCCAGCAGGCACATCTCAGAAGCCAAGCCGGGGAAGCCGCGTTGCAGGGAAAGGGGACGCCACGCTGCCAACCCCAGCCCCGGCCAAGGCAGATTTAGTAAATAAAGCCACTCCAGCGTCCCGCTGCCACCCCAAACGCCGAGGGAAAAGGGTCTGGCAGCGCCCGGGGCCAGGCAGGTCCCTGC